CTGTGGCTGGGAGGCAGGATGCCCGGCTCCCTGGGTACAGACGAGGTGGGGCGCAGAGGCTGGGCAGGGCTGGGAGGGCGGGCAGGTCTGCAGGTGCCTGGAGGTGCACAGGGCAGGGGCGGCCAGCAACTCTGGCGTCTGGATTCTGGAGGCCGTTAGCCCTTGGGAAGTGCAGGGTGGCCGGCCTGGGTTGGGGCGAGGAAGAGTCCCTGGGGGGCTGTGGGGGCAGGGGGTGGGACATGGAAGGCTGGACATGGGGCTCCTGGTCCCAGGAGAGACAAAAGGCACACATTTTTCTGGGAGGGAGGTGTCACAGTGACTCCTCCAGCCTGTGCTCCCATCTGCTCCCCTCCCTACCCAGGCCCCAACACGCGCCACTGGCCCGAGTCCAACTGGACGAGCCCACAGGAGTTTGTGATCCTGGGCTTCTCCAGGTGGCCGCAGGGGCTCCGCATGCTGCTCTTCGCCCTCCTCCTGCCGCTCTACCTGGCCACGCTGGCGGGGAACCTGCTCATCCTGGCCCTGGCCCTGGTGGCCCCGGCCCTGCGCACACCCATGTACTTCTTCCTGGGGGCGCTATCTGCCGTTGAGGCGGCCTACACGCTGGTGCTGACCCCGCGCATGCTGGCCGGCTTCCTCCTGCCCCCCGGGGGCCAGGCTGTCGCCGCCTCCACCTGTGCCGCCCAGATGGGCCTCTTCGTGGCGCTGGGGGGCTCTGAGTGCCTGCTGCTGGCCGCCATGGCCCTGGACCGCTACCTGGCCATCTGCCACCCCCTCTACTACCCTCAGCTCATGACCACTGGCCTCTGCTGGGGCCTTTTGGCCTCCTGCTGTGCGGGCGGCTCCATCCTGGCCCTGGGCCTCACCACTGCTGTATTCCAGCTGCCCTTCTGCCATGGTGGCCTTGTCAACCATGTCTTCTGTGACCTCCCAGCCGTGCTGGTGCTGGCCTGTGGGAACCGGGACCTGCAGGAGCACGTCCTCCTGGCGGCCTGCCTGCTGCTGCTGGTGCTGCCTCTCATCCTGATCCTGCTCTCCTACACCCGGGTGCTGGTGGTCATCCTGGGAGTCGGGGGTGCCGCTGGCCGCCGCAAAGCCTTCAACACAGTGGCGTCCCATCTCACTGTGGCTGTGCTCCACTATGGCTGTGCCACGGCCATGTATGCCAGGCCCCTGAGCAGCCGCTCCCTGGAGGAGGACAAGCTGGTCTCGCTCATCTACATCAACCTCACACCACTGCTCTACCCGGCCATCTACACGCTGCGGAACCGGGACATGCAGGGGGCCCTGCAACGGGTGGTCAGCCAGAGGACCCTGGGGCTGGCCCACCAAGCTGAGCTCACCTGATGCTGAGTCCAGGTGGTGGCATCGGTCCTGAGACTTTCCCCTCTGATGGAAATCTTGCCCTTCCAGAGCCATCCATGGCTCCCTAGTGCCTGCTCGACATAAACCTGAGCACAGCCTACGAGGACCTCCAAAAGCTGACCCCAGCCTGGTCCTTCTGCTTCTGTTCACGGCTTGAGCTGGACAGGCCTTGGTTGTGAGGCTATCTCCTGAGCATTACAAGAGGCTCAGGCCCCACAAGTGTCTTCTCACTAGATGCCAGTAGCATCCTCCACCCCACCCCCAGCTGCAATGATCAGAAACGTCATCGGACATTGCCAAAGGTCCCCCGAGGGGCAAAATCACCCCTGGCTGAAAACCACCGCTCTAAACGCTGGCCACACAGTATCTTTTGAAGAGAAATGAGTATTAATGTACAAGAAGTTTATAGCAGCACTATTTATAATAGAAATAGAAAATGTCCATGAATATACAGCACACAACCTGTGGCATATTCACTCGATGGAACACTACACAGCAATAAAATAGAATGAACTGCTACCAGCAAAAAATAAGGACAACACAGATGTAATATGGAGTCTAAGAAGCAAGACACAGTGAGTACCTACCACGTGGTTTCATCTAAACAAAGGCCAGTGACAAACTGATGGTGGCTGATGGTTCATGTCATAATGGTGGTTACCTGAGTTAAGGATCTGGGTTGGCGGGGGCCCAGGGGAGATTGCCCGGACACTGGAGCTGTTCTTTATCTTGATTTGGGTGGTAATTATATGGCTATGTACGTGTGTAAAACTCCATCAAGATACACACTTAAGATGTGTGCACTTTACTATTCAGTCTTTCCTTGGTGTCCATGGGGGACTGGTTCCAGGAAACCCCTAAAACTCACAGATGCTCGAGTCCCTGATATAAAATAGTGTGGTATTTGCATATAACCTATGCACATCCTTCCATATACTTAAGTCACTGCTAGATTGCTTAAAATACCTAATACAGTGTAAATGCTATGTTAATCATTATGCTGTATTTTTATTTTTAATTGATTTTTAAAAAATACTTATTTTCTATCTGCGGTTGATTGAGCCTGTGGATGAAGAGGGCCGACTGTATGATTCATGTGAGCCAGGAGCAGAGGCAGGCCTTCCACACTCTCACGCCCTCCTCTGGCTGCTTTATGTCCCTGTATCCTCCTCTCTTTCCTCCTATGACAATCCCTACACTACTCAGGGATCAGCCCTGATACCGTTTTCTCTGCAACGCTCTCCTTGGTACCTTTCCTTCCTCATCTCAGTGACCACTGTCACTCTAAAAAGTAATTTTGGCATCTGCCTTCGACTGTGAGCTCTTTACAGCTGATCTCAGACAGACCCTATTATTTCATTTCAAGATCCATGAACTTGGCAGTTCTTAACAAATTTTTTTTTTTTTTTTTTTTTTGAGACAGAGTCTTGCTTTGTTGCCCGGGCTAGAGTGAGTGCCGTGGCGTCATCCTAGCTCACAGCAACCTCAAACTCCTGGGCTCAAGCAATCCTTCTGCCTCAGCCTCCCGAGTAGCTGGGACTACAGGCATGTGCCACCATGCCCGGCTAATTTTTTTCTCTATATATATATTTTTAGTTGTCCAGATCATTTATTTCTTTCTTTTTTTTAGTAGAGATGGGGTCTCGCTCTTGCTCAGGCTGGTCTCGAACTCCTGACCTTGAGCGATCCACCTGCCTCGGCCTCCCAGAGTGCTAGGATCACAGGCGTGAGCCACCGCGCCTGGCCTTAACAAATATTTGACAGAGGAATAAACCATAGAAAATCCCTGGGTTGTTTTGGGGTCTCACATATTAACTATAGGGCCAGGGATATAACTCTTGAATCCTACAAGATTGAATCCTCCTCTGGAGTCTCTTCTCCAAGAGGGTCTGAGTCGGCTGTGAGGAAGGACCCCAGTTGGCAACTCTAGGACCCAACTTACCAAGCGGCCTGGCAAGTAACAGGCGTGTAAGTTGGTATAAATAACTGCATTTTGAAAACCTGACACCCTGATTATATCTCTAAGGCCAGTGTCCTAGATTCCACAGGAGGAACCTTTCCCTAAGACATGACTAAGGACCATCCTCAGCCTAAAAACATTTCCTGAAGGGCCCATTCAGGAACCAGGAATCTTAGGGGCAGAATTGGTGCAGGTAAGTTCAGCCTACCTGCCCTCTTGACTGGAGAAGGTGTACGTCTATCACGGCCGATCTGGAATCTGGAAAGAATTATAGCTAAGCAGGCCAGACAGAGCACAAGACTTTATTTTTTTACAGGAATTTCAGGTTCACAGCACAATTGAGAGGACGTACAGACATCTCCCAGGTACCCCACCCCAACACAAGACGAACTCCACTTGAGGTTATATGTCAGAATCCTGAGAAATATGGGTTGAAGGTGTCTTCCTCCCAGAACATTTTGTGTTTGCTTCTGAAAGTTGTTTCAAAGACCACAACAAATTTCTATGTTAATTGTTCAGTTTTTCTACTGGGACAGGAATAGAACAAAGTCAAAATTCTAACTTACGTGAGATGCAGGTCAGAGCGTATGACTCAACCAGGTAAGCTCTTGCCTACCAAGAGACAGACAGACAAGCTTTGGGTCTCTGGTCTACCTCCTCCATGGATGTACAGCCTTTTGAAAGTTCTGAATTTGTGAGTTATGTCAGGGCCAGCTCCCTGCCTGGCGTGGCCCCAAGGTCTATTTCTTGTCCTCTATGGTCTGTAACACTTAAACTCACAGTGCAGCTACAGCATCAACTCACAAACTTTATTTCTGGTTTTCAGGTCCCTCTGCATAGCTAGCATCTGGAAACTTCTTGTTTTCTTACAAGCTGAATTATGCATTGAAAAGAATGTTAGCCTTGTGTTGCCCATCATTTCTAGCTGCTTATAGTGGGAGAGTTTCCACTTAGTCCACCAGATTGCCTGAAATGGGAGCCCTAACCTTACACGTTTAACACGTAAACAGAACTTATAAACTAGTTGATTGAGAGGCATCAGAAGATGTCACGAGATTGCTAGCTTCCAGACTCGGGGCTCTGGAATACTTGCCAGCAAACAGCAGGACAAACGGCAAGGGGTGCTGCAGATGGAACTCTGGTTTGGTAATAAATTCATCTTGTTCCAGGTATCATATGTAACACAAAGACAAGGGTGTGCTTTAGTATAGAAAGTCTTGATAGATATTATTCTATATATTATGGTGTATATCTCTACAAATTCAAAATTATGTTCAGCTCACCAATGCAACTAAAAAATAAAGATTATTTTTATGTAGCACACTCAGGAACATAACCCCTATATAGCTCTGGGATTGTTCTGATGCTTAAATCATTAAGACAACAGATATAATAATCTATTCCCATATTTAAAAGCTTAATATCCACAGTTGACATACATACCCTTTATAATTAAGCATATCCTATAAAAATATATCACTCTAGCACTATTATCCTCCTGTCATTAGTGTTAACAGAACAAGCTTTCCCTAATCTACCAAACTGTCAGAATTTTAAGTTGGTGTGGTGCTCTGCAGATGGTGGCGATGGCTCAGGGCTCTTCCACACACAGAACATCCACAGGTTTTCATTCCCAGATGTGTTGTGACTTCTTGACGATGACTTTCTCTCGCGCTCACCCATACAGTTTCTCCCTGGTGTGAATTCTGTGATGCCGAATGAGGTTGGCCTTCTGGGAGAAGGTCTTGCCGCATTCGGAGCACTCGTAGGGCTTCTTTCCCAGGTGAGTCCTCTTGTGGATGATAAGGCACGAGTTCTGGGAGAAGGCTTTCCCGCACTCGCTGCACCCGTAGGGCTTCTCGCCCGTGTGCGTGCGCTGATGCAGAATGAGGTGTGACTTTTGGAAAAAGGCTTTTCCGCACTCGCCGCAGCCGTAGGGCTTCTCTCCCGTGTGGATTCTGTAGTGTATGATGAGGCAGGACTTCCGAGAGAAAGACTTCCCACATTCCTTGCAGCCGTAGGGCTTCTCCCCGGTGTGAGACCGGTGGTGCTCCACGAGGCGCGACTTGTGGGAGAAGGTTTTCTCACATTCCGAACACTTATAAGGCTTCTCTACAGCACGAATCGAGAGGCCTGGCTTCCGGGAGGTCGTGTTACCACGACTGCTGCCTCCACTAGGTCCTTCTTTTGTGTGATTTCCCTGACTGCTGAACCCAGTGCCCTGCTCACTGCACCCGTAGGATCTGTCACCCCTGTGGACCCTGTGATGTACGATGAGCTGTGATCTGCAGGGGAAGGCTTTCCCGCACTTGGTGCACTTGTGGGGTTTCTCACCGCTGTTGCTTCCCTGACCTGCGTTCAGGGATTTGTCTTGGCTTAAAGCTTTTCTACACTGGTTACATTCACGTGGGTTCTCTCCAGAATGCGGAGTTTCAAGCTTAGAATAGAGGAATAAGTTCCCATGTCTATCACACTCAAATCTCCTTCTTGCAAGGTAGGCCGTAGGACTGAAGTCCACATTGCATTGCAGACTCTTTCCACACGACTTACATGTGTGGGCTGGTTGTCCTGAAGGGACAAGGTTTGCGTTCTGATGGGAATTTTTTCCAAGTTCGTTGCATTCTTGGAGATCTTTTCTGCTCACATTTTTCTGGTCTAGGTCACTTGAACGTTTGTCTTGGTGTTCCTGTTGTCTACCTACTTGTGTAGCAACTTGCCAAACTTCTAGAAAAAAATAAATGACATAAACTTGTTAATCTTTCCAATATCATATCACAAAATTATTTCAGAAATGTTTGGGAGGAGGATTAATTTTGTGCTTTTGAGCCTAATTGCCCAGGCTAAAATAATAACTCTTCCACGACAACTTTCTAGTCACTTGGATTTTGAAAAGAAAAAAAAAAAAAGCAAGACATAGGAAAGGGATAAAACATTGATGATTGTAAGTAGCTTTGCTGTTATCGAGTTTCACACAGGAGACTGGCAGAAGAAACAGACAAGTCGAAGTGAGCCAGGAAGTGGCTTCGAGGCAGGGACGTGCTGGGGAACCAGTTCACTGAACGGCGTGGAAGGGGGAGCCCCTGATTCTGCAGTGGCTCCCCACTTCCCTGGTGGAAACACCGTGGCTGGTTTCGAGTTGCCACAATGATGTCGCTGAGTGTACAGCTGGGAAGGTTCTGGCATATCCCTATGTGAGGAGGGAGACGTGACAAGGACAGCCCATCAGGACATGCGGGTATGCATTTAGGAAATTTGAGCAAAGATTAAGGAAAGACTAGGGTTTCCAGGGGAATGGAGAGAGGAGAGTGTTTAAGAAATCTGAGCAAAGGACTCGGGCTGAAAGAGGTGAAAGCGATGCCAGTCCCTTGCTGTATTCCTGGAGTACAGGAAGGCTCTTCACGATCTGCATTCCTGTGTCCTTTCCCCCTTGAGCTCACTCTCATTCTGCATACCAAGTTAATTTTCTCAAAGCATTACATCCTTCATTGTCCACTCTGCAGTGACTTATCCTGCCATGGATCTATACATCTTTATCATGTCCAATGTAAGGATACAACAGTAAGTACAAGCCATCCTGGCCCCAGAATCAGGTTCCCTGCTGCTCTGATGCCCATACCGCCACTTCCTGCAGGCACACCATACCTGGCTGACAGCCAGACCCTCACTGGGCCCCTTTCCGTATGCCCGATGGGCCTGGCTTCCGACCAGCCTCCCACTAAACCCACACAGGTTGTATGTCCTTGGACGTGTTGGTTTTGACACCACTGTGGAATCCACTTTGAGAATCTTAAATGGCAGAGTCTTCATTCTGTACTTAGATCCTTATATGCTTATATCTTTACTTACATTTTAAACGAAAAACTCTACCTGCTGCCTCACCTATGGCACCCCTGCCACCCTTCTGTTTAGAAGCTCAGTTCCTGAGCCCAACTGCTGAATTCCCAAGAGGTAAAGACCATCACCTACTGCTCTCCCCGCATCAAACTGTTGGGGCGGGACCCAGCCGGGGGTATTTTTAAAGCTCCCCATATGACTCTGGTGTGGATCCCCAGTTAATAACAATTGTCCTCAACAAATGCCTGGCAAAGAATCCCTATCCTGGAAGGAAAGGAAAATCCCTCTCTTGAAGAGGGATTTAGTGAGCGCCCACTGCAAGCTTCCTGTGGCAATGAGAACAAATGAAATAAAGGCTCTGCTCCCCGGGTGTTATACTGAGATGGGGGAAGCTGCATTTATAACTATTAGGCAGAATGGGACTATATTACATGGTTTTGAAAAAGAAGAAATTTAAAAGTCATATAAAAGGTAACACACTAAGGCTGGGTAGCAGAGTAACCAGATGCATCAAGTAAATGAAGTCGGCATTAACATCTAAGATCAACTAGAACCAATATTAGAATCGGAATAGCCAACTAGTAATTAAACCCTCTAGGCATATGATATGTTTGGGGATGATGTGAGAAGAAACAGAAAAGATGGAAGGAAATTAAAGGAATCTCTTTTAAAAAGGACCTACAAGATCAGAAAGAAAAGACAGCAAAATGAGAAGATTCTGTGGCCTGGTGGTGACTAAGCTATGCTAAGCCAGAGCATGTGAGAAGGAAGTAGCATGTAACAGAAAAGACTACCAGCTCTCAATAACCCAGCTCCTTCATTTTCTATGGCAGAAACTCGGCAGGCAATCAACATGAGTAAATGCAACACAAAGGCGAATTCTAAGGGACACAATGGTGATTTAAAGCCATCAATTCATGCTGAAGGACAGGAATGGCTGTCACCTGCTTGCAGGTGTGAAGAAACCGATGGGAACTGAAATTCAGGTGTAGCAAGTTAAGTTCCCAATGCATTTCACAGTGAAAGAAAGGAGGAGAAAAGATTCAAAGAAAAATAAGTGGCACAAAATAACAGCTATTTTAAAATAGGGCAAAGCTATGAATCCCTGAACACATGGGAAAGCCTATTCTATAACCAGGGGAAAAGCATAAGACAAATTCTAGAGAAAGACTGAACAGTCAAACTCTTGGTAGACATAGCAGGGCAGAATAAAAGGATAAATGAAGACAGACTACGTTTTTCTCCACAACCCAGGGGCAGGAAAGTAATCGTGTAGTGCGTGGTGTGTGCAGGTGGTAGGATCATTTAGGCATCTCAAGGTCTGGGGGCCAAATGTCCACAGCTGCTTGCAGAGGCCCAAGGCCATGAAGAATGGTTGGCCGGAACAAGAAAGCACCCGAGGTTCTGCTCTGTGACCTCCTGCAGGCTGTTCACTCACCTGGGAAGCTCCACCTGCGCATCTCCTCCTTCTCCACCCATGGCTCTTTCCCCTGCTCCAACCTGGAGATCACAGCTGGTTTGCTGATTTGACATCCTGTTTGTGAAAAATAATTACAGGATTTGTGCCGAGCCACCCGGGCCCCCTAAGCAAACAGACGGGACATCTCAGTCAAAGAACAGATGTCTCACTTGGGAGGTAACTTCACAAATAATCCAAATGAGATGGAGTCTCTGGCCGCTGAAACCCAAGGCCAAGCGCTTTTAGAATCTAAGCGCTTTCATGGTTTTACAGAACTGAGCGAGGAAAGGCGCTCAGACACAGCCTGAGGACCACTGGGAAGCTGTCCTCACCTATGGAGACCAGGTGGCTATAGTTCTCCAGCATCACATCCCGGTACAGGGTCCTCTGCTCAGAGTCCAGTTGCTGCCACTCCTTCCGAGTGAAGCCCACGGCCACGTCCCCGAATGACAGTGACCCCTGGAAAAGCACGTTCCTGATTAACCTGGAGTGGTCGGCACTGAGCACCATGGCAAAGCCGTGGAGATGATCTTACCACCTTCAGAGTCAGGCTTCCCCATGTTAAGTTATACAGGAAGCTTAGCATGTCCCTAACTTTGTACTACACTTTTTGGGAGGGTTAAATATATATATATATATATATATATATATATATATTAATCATTAGAAAAGAATCTCACTACTGGGTCTCCATTCATTCCTTCAGTGAACGAGCATCTACTGCAGACCTGCGTGCTGCTGGCGTCCTACTAAGTGCTTCGGGGCAAGAACTGACCCCAACATCGCTCCTGTTCTAAGGTGCTTGGAGTCCGGTGGGGCAAGAAGAACGTGAAAGCTGTATGGTAAGATCACACCGACGGCTGTGACAGAGTGTAGTTAAGCACAGCACAGGCGCAGTGCTTCAAAGGACATCACATTCAAGCGGAGTCACGAAAGATAAAGTGATCTGACGTCTGCAGGATACACTGGGGAAAAGAATCCTCATTCAATAAATGGTGCTGGGAAAACTGGATAGACACATGTAGAAGACTGAATCAGGATCCACACCTTTCACCTCTCACAAAAATCAACTCACTCTGGGTAAAAGATTTAAACCTAAGGAGTGAAACTATTAGAATTCTAGAGGAAGATGTTGGAAATACTCTTCTAGACATTGGCCTAGGCAAAGAATTTATGGAGAAGACCCCAAAGGCAATCACAGCAACAACCAAAATAAATAAATGGGACCTGATCAAATTAAAAAGCTTCTGCACAGCCAAAGAAACTGTCAAGAGCAAACAGACAACCTACAGAATGGGAGCAAATTTTTGCATGCTACAAATCCGATAAAGGGTTGATAACTAGAATCTACTTAGAACTCAGGGTTGTTTGATTTTTTCTTGTTGATTTTCCTATCAAAAAGTGGGCAAAGGACATAAACAGAAACTTTTCAAAAGAAGACAGAATAATGGCCAAAAAACACATGAAAAAATGCTCAACATCTCTAATCATCAGGGAAGTGCAAATCAAAACCACAATGAGATATCACTAATCTCCAGTGAGACTGCCCTTTATCAAAAAGTCCCAAAATAAATGTGGATGCGGAGAGATAGGAACACTCAGACACTGCTGGTGGGACTGCAAACTAGTGCAACCTCTGTGGAAAGCAATATGGAGATACCTTAAAGAGATACAAGTAGAATTACCATTTGATCCAGCAATCCCATTACTGGGCATCTAGCCAAAAGAACAAAAGACACTCTATGAAAAAGACACCTGCACCCGAATGTTTACAGGAGCACAATTCACCATTGCAAAGATGTGGAAACAACCCAAGTGTCCACCAATACATGAGTGGATTAATAAAATGTGGTATATGTATACCATGGAGTACTATTCAGCATTAAGAAACAATAGCGACATAGCACCTCTTGTATTCTCCTGGATAGAGCTGGAACACATTCTACTAAGTGAAGTATCCCAAGAATGGAAAAACAAGCACCACATGTACTCACCATCAAATTGGCATTAACTGATCAACACATAAATGCACATATAAGAATAACATTTATTGGAAGTCGGGCAGGGGGAGGGGGAGGAGGGGACGGGTATATGCATACACAGAGTGCGATGCGCACCATCTGGGGGATGGACACGCTTGAAACTCGGACTTGGGTGGGGGGTAAGGGCAACGTACGTAACCTAAACATCTGTACCCCCATAATATGCTGAAATAAAATAAAAATAAAGAGCCCTGGCACGAGCAAAGGAGTCACTTCCCTGCAAAGTATGGTAGGAACTGCAAAGAGGTGAGAGTGACGATGTAAGGAATCAGGTGTGTGTGACACCAGCAGGTCACAGGAGAAAGTAAGGTTTCTTTTTTTCCCCTGTGGGCCATGGGGACTCCCACATCACAGTATTTACAGAGAAAAACTACGAAAGATCTGATGTGGAAGGAGGGGGAGTCACTGGAAGGGAGAAGTAGCAGGAGATAAATTAGGGCACAATCCTAATCCTCGACATGAGACAGTCGGAATTAAGGCAGCATCGAGAGGAAAGCAGAGAAAGGATTCCACAGGCAGAGCGGGGCGTGGCTCAACCTCCCCTTCTCTCCATGAATTAAAGGCCCAAATTTTACATTTTATATCTATTAGAAAAAAGAGAATATACTTGTGGACCAGAAATAAGGATTTAAGTCATAAAAGACAAAGATCATAAAAGGTGGGCAGTTTTACCTACATAGTCATTTATACAGATGCCACTTTAATAAAAGTTAAAAGCAAAAAAAAAAAAAAAAAAAACCGAAGAGGCCAGACGCGCTGGCTCACGCCTATAATCCTAGCACTCTGGGAGGCTGAGGCGGGTGGATCCTTTGAGCTGAGGAGTTCGAGACCAGCCTGAATAAGAGCGAGACCCCGTCTCTACTAAAAATAGAAAGAAATTAATCGGACAACTAAAAATATATAGAAAAAATTAGCCGGGCATGGTGGTGCATGCCTGTAGTTCCAGCTACCTGGGAGGCTGAGGCAGGATCGCTTGAGCCCAGGAGTTTGAGGTTGCTGTGAGCTAGGTTGATGCCATGGAACTCTAGCCTGGGCAACAGGGTGAGACTCTGTCTCAAAAAAAAAAAAAAAAATTTTTTTTAAGAATATAAGTGACAAAGGATTAGAATTGGAAACAGGAACTACTACATACCAATAAGGAAAGGACAAGCAACTCTACAGAAAAATGCATAAAGGACGGAACAGTCAGTTCATAGAAAAAAGAAAATAAATGAAATGGTGCTCAATGTAATTATTAATAGTAATAGGAAAAATGCAAATTTTCAAAATAAAAAAAAACCATTTTGCATCTATCCAATCAGCAAACACATTTTCAAGGTACTTCACAGTGAAGAAACAAGAGTTCCCAAGAATGTGGGAAAAAGGGAAGCTCGAACCCTACGGGTGGGAGCGTACACAGATGCACGTACCACAGAGAGCAACTTAGCAACACCTAGTGAGAGCGAAACGCCAAGGTTTCTGATTTTAGGTATATCCTCCCTAAACCCTCACAATGCTAGTTGCCCAAAAAGGGAGCTGAACCAAAATGACAATGACAGCGTTGTTTGTAATAACAAAAAATGAAAAGACAGCTACTATCTCAATCTACAGGGGCTAGAAAGAATGCATAGAACATGGGAGCTAAAATGAAAACCTGGCCTTGACCACTCTTGGAAACACAATGGGGGGCAAAAATAGTACACTGCTGGATATTACAATGATACTATTTATGAAAATTTAAAACCACTGCAAACTCTATAGATTGTTCATAGATACCTATCCATGCAATAAAAATATTAAAAATATGGACAGAAAAATATAAAATCACAGAAGCATTAGTCTCAGTGAAAGAAGGAACATATGGAATGGGGAAAAAAGGACACAGCATGTCAGCTGAGAAACAGACTAGCACAGGCTAAGTGCACAGCCTCTGGAGACAGACTGCCTGGGTTCAAATCCTAGCCCTGCCACTTGTTAGCTGTGTAGATTTACACAAGTTACTTACCCTCTCTGGGCCTTAATTTCTTCCTTTGCAAAATGGGAACAATGTATTCATAACCACTCTATCTCCTAGAATGCTGGCTATTAAAGGAGTGAACCACACAGAATACTTGTTACCATGGTCTTCAGTGTCAGCTGTAGTTATTGCCTAAAATGGTTTCTTTTAAAATTAAAGACCTGAAAGCAACATGACAAAATGTTAACATTTAGTCATTTTGAGTGACAGGTATAAGGTCTCTTGATATATTATCCTTTGTACTTATACATTTTTTTCTTAATTTTTCAAGATTAAAAAAGGACCCCTGCCCGACCACTCCTCCAATCCAAAAAAAAAAAATGCTGAAGAGTAGCAAAACGATTTTGAGAAAAAAACCAGAATACAGTCATCCTGTGGTATCTCAGTGGATTTGTTCTAGGACACCCCCCATACCCAAATACACGGATAGTCAAGTCCCACCGTCAGCCCTAAGGAGCCCAAGAATGCTGCGATGTTTTCCATCTGCGCTTGGTTGAATTCACAGATGCTCGAACACAAACGGCTGACTGCACTAGAGGAGTCGTCCTCCAGAAAGCAAAAGACAACGTGAAGCTTCAGGAACAAGAACAGCATGAATTTGGAAGAGGAACAAATCAACAAATAGTAAATAAAGAACTCTGTGGGAATTTATCACATCACATGGAATGTATTTCAAGTGATTGCAAAACAAAACAGTCCCGGGGCTGGGGCAATGGACATCTGAAAAAATCAAGTTAGGTATCTACCCCGTAACCTTGACTAAAAGAAATCTAAATCCAATTAAGATTGAAGTGTTAAAAAGATGAAACAGTAAAATTATATTGTTTTGGGGGATTCCGATACTATCATGTGATAAGTAAGTGTGAGAGCAAACTGCGTTAAGTATGCAGATAAGTGTGAGGGTTGGGGGGCCTTCCTCACCATGACAGAGGTCAGAGGAAGGCGCCCTGGAAACCTGGCGACAGCAGGGAGAGGAAGGATGGGCAGGACATGCATAGGCAAAGGGGTGGCCCAAAGTGTCCCTGACGGTGGGATGAGAAAAAAATGTGCAGCAGAGAGACAGGAAGCAGCACAAGGCCCTGGAGCAGCAGCTGGAGGGGGGAGGGGGCCAGAAAGGACAGCAGGGCCAAGACAGTGCTGAGGAGCCTGGCTCCCTTCCAAGACAATGCCCAGATCTCTATCACATGTGCGACCAAGGGCTAAAGTCTGCTAAGGCAGTGACATCTTAAATCAATATTGACCTATCACACGCTAAACCTCTACTGTCTCACAGATATACAGGACTATAGAACGTGAGCCAGGTGTGTGACTTAACACATTAACTGCCATGTGAGTTGTATGTCACTCAAGCTAGTGTTGAGCCCAGGGCCTCATGGAGCATGTGTAACTCACATCTCTTCACCTTGGGAGCCACAGGAACTATTTTTGAAGTTGCATATAACTCACACACAGAAAACAAAAATAAATTTTTCCTTAAATTAGAAAGGATCGTTTTGTTTTCGAAGTTTTTATTCTATTTTCGTGACAAAACACTGCAGCCCCAAGGAAATTTTTTTTGTCTAGTGTGGCAGTCGATGTGTTAAAATTTTCTAGTGGTCAGATTTTCCTAAAAAGTAAAAAAGAGAAACAGGTAAAATTATCCTTAATATCTCTTATGTAACCCAATATATCCAAAATATCGTTTTGATATATATGCATTATTTTAAAAGTCACTGATATGTTTTTCATACCACATCTTCAAAATCTGGTGTGTATTTTATATTTATAGCACATCCCAATTAAGACATTTTAAATGTTTATAATAAAATGCAGTCCCATTGAAATGGTAAATTGGTGTTCAACAGAAAAATATTTTCCTGTGGTTCAGTTTTAAAATTTTTTTTGTTTTAGAGATGGTATCTTGCTCTGTTGCCCAGCCTAGAGAGTATAGTGCCACAATCATAGCTCACTGCAGCCTCAAACTCTGAAGCCCAAGCTATCCTCTTACATCAGCCTCCCCAGTATCTGGGACTACAGGCATGTACCACCATGACTGGCTTATTTTTCTATTTTTTATAGAGACGAGGTATCATTCGTTATGTTGCCCAGGCTGGTCTTGAACTCCTGGCTTCAAGTGATCCTCCCACCTTGGCCTCCCAACATGCTGGAATTACAGGTGTGAGCCACTGTGCCTGGCCCAGTTTTAAAACTGTCAATTAAAAATTCAGGTCCTCAGTCACACTAACCACACTTCAGGTGCTTGGTAGCCACGCGTGGCTAATGGCTATCTTAGTGGACAGTGTGGTCTAGCCTGCAAAAATACTAGTGTATTCCTTTGCTGGGCATAAGGTATTGGTAGATAAAACCACAGTTCAGGTCAGTCATTAAGGGCTCAGTTTTATAGTCTGTCTGCATTCAGCCTAATAGATGTGAGACCTCAGGCAATTTGTTTAACATCTCTGGACTCAGTTTGTCCATCTGTAAAATGGGGAGAGGTGGGTTACATGTAATACTCTCTCAAAGGTTTATTTGTGAAATAATATATGAAAAAGCACAGAAACCAGCATATAAGTGCTCAACAGATAAAGGTAATAACAAAAGTTATAAAACTCTATTACAGACTGCCCTACCAAGGAGTTCCCAGTGAGACTTCGTTTCCTAAAGAATAGCTTCCAAGAAAGACACTGAATGAAACCTCCAGCTTCCAGGTTCACAGACAGGTGGAATCAGCTGTCTCCTCTGGGAGGGCTAGGTGTGGAGCCACCACCTTGTTTTCAATCTCTCATACTGGCCTGAGAGGTTTCTGGTGTCAAACACCAAGCTAGCCCTGGCTTTAGTAAGCACAGACATAGAAACCAAGGCCCTGGGAATGCTCTCCCGTCCTGGAGTGGATGGTTGTGGTGTTTGTCCACGAGGCCTCATCTTCCTCTGGGACTGACCCCCTCCTGCCCCCACCTAGCATGGGGTGCTCCCGTAGCAGCCCCAGCCCCTGAGCACGGCTGACTGGATGGAGAGGGCCTAAACCTGAACTGAGCTGGACCAAACATATCTTTCCCCAAGACCTTTCAAACTGGATCTACAAAAGGAGACTTGGTTCCTTTCCAAGGAAGAACATGTAAACATGAGGGGGCAAAGCTGTAGCCATGCTTTTTCTGGCCACATGGATAAAGTCGGTGTGAGAAGGAAGTCACAGACACACAGACAAAGGAACAAGAAAGGCTTCCAAGGATAGCTGGGTTCCTGGGTGCGAGGGCTTCTGATCCCTGTGAAAAACCTGCACTTCCAGAGCTCAGGGTGCTGCCTGCCTTGTAAGACTTTTTCCCCTGATCCTAACTAGTTCTAGTTGGGTTTCTGGCTCTTGCATAACTTCAAGGGTTCTGACCAGCACACTCCACACCCACGCATTCCTAGAACCCAGGGCAAGGAGTGGAGGAATCTGAGAATGTGGACAGGCTCCCTGAAAACACAAAGTCACTGATGTCCAAAGAAAGATAACAGTCAAGTGAGAAAGCACTCAAAGGAGACCAAGGGCAGATGAGTGAGGACCAAGCCCCGAAAAGAGAGGGGAGATCACCTCCTCAGACTCGAGAAGAAAAAGCTGGAAGACTCAGATCTTCTTCCCTTCATTCCTCTGCCAAAGACTGAAACTTGGTGCAGTTCGCTCTCCATCTGTGTCAAAAATCATTATGGAAAATAATCTGAACGTGCAATTCATTCATTCCTCTAGATAATGTGGTGGTGTATCTAGGACAGTCGGAACTACAGGAGTCTGTCTCTGTAGACCTGAGTGTTTTGAATCCCTGAACTGGAATCACAGATGTCTGCTTTGGCATAATATCTACTGTTTATACAAGGGGGGAATAGTCACAAGAGATTTGCTGTTGTGTTTCTTTCAAGGTTGTTATTATTGAGGAGCCTGACTGCTACATCTCGAATATGAAGATCCATCA